GGGCATACTCTGCATAAAACATATATTGGATAAGTTAACGGTTCATTCCGCAGTGGCGACCCCAAATTAATAATAAAGGGACTAAGCTGTACTTTTGTACGCTAGGCACACACACAAATCAGATCACGTCTTCCAGTTAATCCATTGAACAGAATAAATAAATCAATCAATCAATAAATAAATAAATAAATAAATAAATAAATAAATAAATAAATAAATAAATACAATGATTAGAATATAATCGGAATTGAAGTCAATATGCAATAACAGAGCAGAACACAGAGCTAAATGTGTGATAACGTAAATGTAAATAAGAAACCACATGAGCACAATCTCATTTGAATTTAAAGCGACAGTCACCTAAATATATGCACATCTTCTTACGTATTTTACATCTTGTAAAAAGGGGCATCCTTTAAAGGATCTTCAGTTGACATTTAAATGATAATTTGATCATTTTAGCCTAGTAAGTGTAAATGTACAATCACAATGCTTACTGACCCTAGATCAGAAGAGTGCATCTGAGCTTGCCTTCTTGTTACTGTTTTCAACTACATGAAACACTGCAATTCAACTCTCAATTGCAAGATCTACACATTCCAATGGTTGACGGAAAGAGACATCATCTGAGCATTTAAAGAAGTTTAAAAGCTTTCACCTCGAGCATCCGGTCTCATATCCTCACCACAATATGCATTACAGTATTGGGCTTTCAATACATGGAGAAAGTAAATCAGATAATGTGATGAGTAATGCCCTTAAGATCTTGAGTGTATTGCTAATCATTACTTAACTTCTACATGCTCTGTAAATCTTAGCCAGTTGCTCTCAGACTTATGCAATAATATGAGCCCTGTGCAATCCTGACTGAAACTTCTCGCACCAATAAAATAACATATATTTATTTAAGCAAATGTATGTGGGTCAAAGATGAGCCTTCCTATTGTGGAATCAGCATCATATAACATTTATAAAATTTATTTTATTTGCATAGGATGTGTCCACGTTAATCAGTCAAATATCTTTCGGCAAAAAATATATCACAATAAGCGTGAAATACCCATTGATTTTCATACTCAACTAATCACTTATTCTAATCTGTGCATACTAAAATATTTAAAAGAATAAGTGATCATAATAAATTTTATAATATTTTATAATAATAAAAATGTCCTAATGATAAATGGCTGGTTATATGAAGGATAAAAACATTAAAATTAATGAGTATTGTAAGGCCAAACTCCAACTGTATAGTATAATAATAAACTGTAATATAAAATATGAACTGTAGGGTATAATAATACGTCATCTCAAATGATTGTAAATATGCTTCAAAAGATTTTTCGACATACACTATTGTTACACAGACTGACGTTTTAGCGAATGTCTTCTTTTAATCATGGTTTTAAAAAAAAGTATGATAGAAATAATAAAAGTATGAGGAAATTTAATTAATATCTCAAAATTTAAAGCTGTAACTTGTGTTTTTATTCTTAAAACCACTTATTTTGTTTAAAAAAAAAAACACAAAAATGTAATTTGACTGCTAAAAAAACTGCGTAATACAGTTAAACAGCTCAATATTATTATTAATATTATTAATAACAATCATAATAATAAAAATAATGATAATAAACAGGCTATTTTTAGGGTTAAATGAGTTACAATTTTAAAACAAAGCTTAAGACATTTGAATTAAGCAACAAGCCAGTTTGCAGATCACATCCTTTATCTTAAGCTTGTGAAACATCATGAATTAATGTTGATGCCAGCTTAAAACTCAACTTTTTGGCACTACATTAACATCAGCGAGCCAACGCAAAGATGATCTTTTGGATGAAGAGTTGACATGCTGCCAAAAACAAGGTTAAAACTAATTCTTGTTTTATCATTGTAGTCTCTAATAATTTTTGAAGATGTGCTGGTATAAGCAAAAGTCCAATATTCAAGTCTTGGTTTTAAAATGCCAGCTGAAAACCACTCTGACCAGCTTGGGAAACCAATAAAAACTGTTTAAATCTGCTTAAATCTGTGCATGATGGGATTATTAGGAATAACAGACACAACTGAAAATTGGACATAATGGATTATTGCATCAACAACTGGCAAATAAGTCTAAAACTGTCACTATAGACATAAAATAAAAAGGTTTGTTCTAATCTCAATAAGTTTAGTTAATAACATGTTTGACTTGTTATTTTTTACCTTGAGACCACAAATGTAGAAGGTTTCAAAACTTTGGGAGCTGACTAAACAGACAGCATGTAGTCTACAGCATTTGGTTTTATACTTTCAGACTTTCTCCCTAAAGTATAATTTCAGAAAGGTATTGTTTGCGAATTCTAAACAGAGAAATCATATTAACAGTACAACATTTGTTCATAGTCATTTAACAAGTGTTAATGTTGTTTCAAAGTCATACGATTTCAGACTGAGAAGCATGGTAAACCATAACAAATAATTGTCAGTGTTAAAAATGAGCAAATGTGGGAATATAAAACCAATTTTAGCTCAATTAGCAACAAACACAACTGAAAACTATAGATGTAATGGATTATTGCATCAACTGGCAACAAGCACGTTTAAAGTCTAAACAAACATCACTCTAGACACATGTCTATCTATCTATCTATCTATCACATGTCTATTTGAAGTCTAAATATAAGGTTTGTTTACATTATCGATAAGTTTACGACTTTTAAAACTTACTTATGTTATTGTTATTTTATCAACAAGCATGTTTACAGTCTTAAAAATGTCATTCTAGACACGTCAAAACTACTTTACACCTAAATAAAAGGTTTGTTCACATTTTCGATAAGTGTACAATCTCTACAATCTGCTTATGAATTGCAAGACTTTTTTTTTCAGTTTCACCTCGAGACCACAAATGTGGAACTTAAGATAAAGTTGGTTTTATATTTGCACATTTGGACTTTCTCCTTAATGAAATCAATTTCAGAAAAGTATTCTTTCCAAAGTCTAAGTACGGAAATCATAATAGCAGCCAATGACTATCAAAGTAGCTACACTATTATTAACAGTTAATTAAATAGTGTTAATGTTATTTTGAAGTCATTCTTACATGCAATTCAGACCTAATATTCAAAGTAGCATGGTACACAATATATCCAGTTGTCACTATTCAGAAATGAGCGGATGTAGGAATATAAAACCAACTTTACATCAATTAACACATGAGACAAATGAAAACGAGACTTTATGGATTAATTCATCAACAATTGGCAACAAGTACGTTTAAAGTCTAAACAAATGTCACTCTAGACACATGTCTAAACTATTTTAAGTCTAAATAAAAGGTTTATTTGCATTATCAATAAGTTTACAACTTCAAAAACTTACTTAAGAACTGCTCGACTAGTTATGTTTGTCAGTTTTCTACACTGAGATAGGCTATTATATTCGCAGATTCGGACTTTCTTCTTAATAATATGATTACAGAAAAGTATTCATTGCCAATTCTGAATAGGGAAATCATATTAGCAGCCAATGACTATCAAAGTAGCTGCAACATCATTGTTAACAGTCAATTAAATTGTGTTAATGTTGTTTTGATCTGAATCTTACATGCGATTTTACACCCAATATTCAAAGTAGCATGGTAAACAATCAATACAGTTGTCACTGTTTAGAAATGAGCGAATGTAGGAATATAAAACCAACTTCACCTCAATTAACAACAGAGACAAATGAAAACTACAGACCTTTTAGATTACTGCATCAACAACTGGAAACAAGCATGTTTAAAGTCTAAACAAATGTCACTCTAAACACATTTAAACACAATTTTACCCCAAAATAAAAGGTATGTTTACGTCATTGATAAGTTTACGATTTGCTCGACTTGTATTGTTGACTTGTTGTGTTTTCCGTTTAACCTCAAGACCACAAATTAGAAAGGAGCTACCACATTGTTAACAGTCAATTAAATAGTGTTAATGCTGTTCTGAAGTCAATCTTAACATGCAATTTCATACCTCAATACTCAAAGTAGTGTCGTAAACAAAATATACAGTTGCCACTGTTCAAACAGACGAATGGAAACTATAAACTTAACGGATTATTACATCAACAACTGACAACAAGCACATTTAGAGTCTAAAAAATGTCACTCTAGACATGTCTAAACTATTTTAAGTCAAAATAAAAGGTTTGTTTACATTATCGGTAAGTTTACAATTTGCTCGACTTGTTATTTTTTCAGTTCCACCTCAAGACCACAAATTAGAAAGCAGCTACCACATTGTTAACAGTTAATTAAATAGTGTTAATGCTGTTTTGAAGTCAATCTTACATGCAATTTCAGACCCAATACTCAAAGTAATGTGGTAAACAAAATATACAGTTGCCACTGTTCAAAAATGAGCAAATGAAGGAATATGAAACCAATTTTACCTCAATAATTAAGAAAAAGTTGGTTTTATATTCAAAGATTGGGACTTTCTCCCTGATAATATCTTTTCAGAAAATTATTCTTTGCAAATTCTGAATAAGTAAATCATATTAGCAGCCACTGACTAAAGCAGCTACAACATTGTTAACAGTCAATTAAATTGTGTTCATGTTGTTTTGAACTGAATCAAACATACGATTTTAAACCCAATATCTAAAGTAGCGTGGTAAATAATATACATATATAGTTGTCACTGTTAAAAAATAAACGAATGTAGGAATATGACACAAACTTTACCTCAATTAACAACAGACACAACTGAAAACTATCAACAACTGGCAACAAGCGCGTGTAAGTTACAGTCTTACAGATGCCACTCTAGACACATGTATATACTATTTTACCCCTGAATAAAATATTTGTTCTAAAATCGATCACTTTACGAATTTAAAAAGCTTACTTATGAACTGCTCGACTTGTTATTAGGTCAGTTTCACTTCCAGACCAGCTCAAATGTGGGTCTCTCAAAACTTTGCGAGCTGACTAACACTACACAGACAGCATTTTGAGTCATAAATCAACTTACCAGGATGCTCTTTTGTAGGTCTGCAGTTAAAACACACACACTGATAGTCCGTGAAGTGGTAGGCTAGTTCGTGGTCGGTAATCCCCCCCAGTCCCCCAGATCGAGCACTGCGCGGTTCAGTCACATCCTAGAAGCAGAGCCGCGTTATGAAGAGTTATGACGTTACGAGTGCTCCTCAAAAGGGAGGCGCCGTTGTGACTTTTCGGTTCTCGAGACTCCTTGTTGAAGAGCCAATATAAAAGACAGCCACTATTTCTGCCTCCTAGTTAAATGAGTGTGCTGCGGTCGCTGTTTTCGGGAGACTCTGGGCATAGAGCACATCATACTGCACAGAGTGTACCCTCGGGTTAGTAAAGAAGACTGACTGCGCATGCGCATTTGGGTGGATGGTCGCGAAGGAAAGTTCAGTTTATTTGAGATTACAAATATTATGATTTTTTTGTGCTGGTTGTAACGGTACAACCATGGGATAGATTGTGGCACTACTCTCTATTGTGTTCTTCCTAATGTATTCAATGAATTGTGACTTTCAGATAGGATGAATTCAGGTAAATTGAGACACGTTTTGCCATTGAGATCACTAAATGTGTCCCGAATGACCTGAATTTACCATATATAGAAGAAAAGAGGGATGGACAGACGGACGGACAGAGAGATAGATAGATAGATAGATAGATAGATAGATAGATAGATAGATAGATAGATAGATAGATAGATAGATAGATAGATAGAATGACAAACATGGATGGAGGGATGGATGGACGGATGGAAGGATTGATGGATGGATGGATGGATGGATGGACGGACGGACGGATGGATAGATAGATAGATAGATAGATAGATAGATAGATAGATAGATAGATAGATAGATAGATAGATAGATAGATAGATAGATAGATAGATAGATAGATAGATAGATAGATAGAATGACAAACATGGATGGATGGATGGATGGATGGATGGACGGACAGATAGATAGATAGATAGATGATAGATAGATAAATAGATGGATGGATGGACACAAGGATGGACACAAGGAGAGATGTATGGATGGATCGATCGATGGACGGAAGGATTGATGGATGGATGGATGGAAGGATAGATGGATGGACGGAAAGATAGATGGATGGATGGATGGACGGACGGAAGGATGGATGGATGGATGGATGGCTCGATGGACGGAAGGATAGATGGATGGATGGATGGAAGGATAGATGGATGGACGGAAAGATAGATGGATGGATGGATGGATGGATGGATGGATGGATGGATGGATGGATGGATAAATGGATGGATGGACGGAAGGATGGATGGATGAAAGGATGGATGGACGGAAGGATAGATGGATAGATGGATGGATGGATGGATGGACGGAAGGATAGATGGATGGACGCAAGGATAGATGGATGGATGGATGGACGGAAGGATGGATGGATGGATGGATGGATGGATGGATGGATGGATGGATGGATGGATGGACGGAAGGATGGATGAAAGGATGGATGGACGGAAGGATAGATAGATAGATAGATAGATAGATAGATAGATAGATAGATAGATAGATAGATAGATAGACTGATTGATTGATTGATTGATTGATTGATTGATTGATTAGAAATCTATCTAACAAATAGACTAAAATGTAAACAGTAACTACAGCGACAGCCACAGCCCGGTGAAAGAAAACACATACAAAAATCTGCAAAGTGTCACCCAGAAAAGGGAAATTTTTTTCTCAGAATACTGTCAGTCCAATTTGAATTTGTCTCCCCCCAGTGCAAACTCCACAAAAGTCAAACAGGTTCACTCTTCAATACTGAAATTAAGTAGTTTTGTGTCAGTATTAATTTATGTTTTAAATATCATCAGCAAAGATGAGAGAGAAATTATATTGTTCATTCACAAAAGGTTATATATGCATGTTTTTACAGTCATGAACACCTCATGTCTCCCTCTGCTGTTGTGAAAGTAGTGTGATATTGCTATTTTATTGAATAATTTATTAGATAATAGTTAGAAAATAAAATTAATAATCAGTTTTTATCAGGTAATTAATATGATCAACATTTATTTTATTTAACATGCATTTTAATTAATAAATTGGGTAAATAAATTAAGTATTAATATTAATATAATGTTTCATTTATATATTTTATGAAAATGGTAAAGTGAAAGAGAACCACTGAGTTTTTGCACTAGATCAATCATGAACAGTAGATTTATCAGCAAAACAAGTAATCTAAGCACAAAAGGGATTCAGTTATACATGCTTTAAATGACAAGAGGAGATTTATCGAGTTGATGTATGAGACTAGCTCTGTAAACCTTCAGTTGTGGATTGAATGATATTGATTTCTTGAGTGTACTGATATGATATGATATGATATGATATGATATGATATGATATACTGGTAAATTCGTGCTGGCTATTTTCCGGAAAGAGAAGGTTGTAACATTACCGGCAATTTGCCTGAATGCTGTGCTGTGTGAACGCAGAAGGAAGATTGTGCGTGCACGTCTAGAACATGCTGACGTGAGACGTCTGCTTTAGCCAATCAGTACAGTCAGACGCACTCACATCCGCACGGTTTATGAAAATAAACGCCTTTGAATATTTTTCCAGACACATTTAGCTGCTGGATGTTAGTCAGATAACATTTATGTTCATCCTCATGCCAACTGTGTAAATAATTATCGATAAGATGCTTATGATAAGCCGTTGTTTGTTTACCTTCAAGCTCTGCGTCGTGTGTCCCTGTGAAGCAGCCCGTGAGCGCCAGCACACACACACATATCCTGTACATCTCAACATGCAAAAGTGTTTCTCTCTATATGTTTTCATCAAAGATGTTCACAATACTGATCCATCCACTGAGTTTGTGATGCAATTCATATCTACAGCTGTGTGACTTTCCTTCAGTGCACATGTATGTATGGGTGTATTCAAGAGAATAAGAGTATGATTTAAACATATTTTTGTGGAGTATATTACACAAGCACCTCCTCTAATCCGAGCTTGACCTAAAATCAGAGAGAGAAGCGTGCGCCTTGAGCTCATGCATTGTGATTTTCTATTGCCATCTACTGCAGGACTCGTTTTGTAAAATGTATTTATGAAATTCTTCATAACAAAAGGAGGATATCCTATTTAAACAAATGCATAAGCGGAAAAACATCTTGAATGCCACTGATGTCATTAGCATACAATTCAAAGAGTTCAAGGCGAGATTAGGAGCCTTCCTCCTGTGAAATATTAATTTGATTTGAGGTTTGTAATTTGAGTCTTTCAACACATTTCTAAACATAATAGTATTAATAACTCATTTCTAATAACTCAATTATTTTATCTTTGCCATGACGACAGCACATAACATTTGACTAAATATTTTGCGTTGATCTCTGCTCTGTCGACTTTTGATGTCGAAAAATCAACTCTACAGTTTAACAAAGTGACTTTTATTGACATTTTAGTCGTTTGAAATAATATAATGTATAATAAATAATATATAGACAAGCCAGCATTTATTAGAGTACAACATGATCTGTTTAACCCTTTGATGAACCCACTGAGACTGTAGTCATGTTTATTCATAGATTTAAGTTAAAATTTTTTAACCCAAAAGTTGTTTGCCTAAATTTTGACCCAATGTTTTGTTACAACAACCCAGCATTTATTAGAGTACAACATGATCTGTTTAACCCTTAGATGAACCCACTGAGACTGTAGTCATCTGTTTATTTAGAGATTTAAGGTAATTTAAGTTATATTTTTTTAACCCAAAAGTTGTGTTTGCCTAAATTTTGACCCAATGTTTTGTTACAACAACCCAGCATTTGTTAGTGTACAACATGATCTGTTTAACCCTTAGATGTACCCATTGAGACTGTAGTCATCTGTTTATAATTTAAGCTACCCTTTTTAACCCAACAGTTGTGTTTGTCTATATTTTGACCCAATGTTGGGTTATGATAACCCAAAATATTTAACAATATGCAATATGATCTGTTTAACCCTCAGATGAATTCATTGAGACTGTAGTCATATGTTTTATTTAGACCTTTAAGTTAAGTTAAATTTTTTAACCCAACGGTTGTTTGTCTGTATTTTGACCCAATGTTGTGTTACAACAACCCAGCATTTATTAGAGTGTACAACATGATCTGTTTAACCCTGGATGAACCCATTGAAGCTAGTCATCTTTGTGTTTAGAGATTTAAGTTAAAGTTGCACTTTTTAACCCAACAGTTGTGTTTGTCTATATTTTGACCCAATGTTGGGTTACAACAACTCAAATTTTTTTAGAATATGCAATATGATCTGTTTAACCCTTAGATGAACCCATTGAGACTGTTGTCATCTGTGTATTTAGAGTTTTAGGTTAATTTAAGTTACATTTTTTGACCCTATTATTACCTAATGTTGAGTTATGGCAGCCCAGGATTTATTAGAGTGCACAACATGATCTATTTAACCCTTGGATGAACCAGTTGTGACTAATCTTTATATTTAGAGATTTAAATTAATTTAAGTTACACCTTTTGACTCTATCAGTGGTGTTTGTTTATATTTTGACCCAATGTTGAGTTATGGTAACTCAAAATTGTTCTAGGGTGCACAATATGATCTGTTTAACCCTTCGATGAACCCATTGAGACTGTATTCATCTGTTTATTTAGAGATTTAAGTTACATTTTTTTAACCCAACAGTTGTGTTTGTCTATGGTTTACCCCAATGTTGCGTTATGACAACCCAGCATTTTTTGAGTGTACAACATGATCTGTTTAACCCTTAGATGAACCCATTGTGACTTTAGTCATCTGTTTATTTAGAGATTTGTTAATTAAAGTTACATTTTTTAACCCAACAGTTGTGTTTATCTATATTTTGACCCAATGTTGTGTTACAACAACCCAGCATTTATTATATTGCACAACATGATCTGTTTAACCCTTAAATAACCCGTTGACATTGTAGTCATCTGTTTATTTAGAGATTTAAGTTAATTTAAGCTACAATTTTTTAACCCAACAGTTGTGTTTGTTTATATTTTGACACAATATTGGGTTAAAACAAC